TGCGGTCGCGCTCGGCGTAGCGTTCTCCCCCGCGCCCGCCGTCGCACCCCGCCCGAGCTCTCGAAGTGCCCGTCCCGCCGCCCCCGCCGTTTGCCCAACCCCGAGCGCGAGCCGCCATTGCGGTCGCGGTCGCGCTGCTTCCACCCCCGTCTGTCGTTTGCCCATTGCCGAGCGGTTGCCGCCAATGCGGTTTCGCTCGGCGCAGCTTCCACCCTCGCCCCTACCGTCACATCCCGCCCCGAGCACTTACCCCGCCGCCTCAAGCTTTCTCCCCCCGCGCCCGCTATTCGCCCAGCACCGAACGCGAGCCGCCAACGCGGTCGCGCTCGGCGTCGCCTCCCCCGTCACGCCCTCTTTCGCCCAACGCCGAGTGCGAGCCGCCAACACGGCCTCGCTCGGCGCAGCTTCCCGCCCCTGTCACCTGCCCCATCCACGAGTGCAAGCCGCCAATGCGGTCGCGCTCGGCGCCGCTTCTACCCCTGCGCCCGTCATTTGCCCAGCACAGAACGCGAGCCGCCAACGCGGTCACGCTCGGCGTCGCCTCCTCCGTCGGGCCCTCTTTCGCCCAATGCCGTGTGCAAGTCGCTAACGCGGCCTCGCTTGGCGCAGCTTCCACCCGCCCCTGTCGCCTGCTCAGCGTTTGCGCTCGGCGCAGCTTCCTCCCCCCGCGCTCACCTGTCGCCCAGTCCCGATTGCGAGCCGCCAACGCGGTCGCGCTCGGCGCAGCTTCCTTCACCTCCCGTTCGCCCAGCCCGGAGCGCGAACTGCCTACGTGGTTTCGCTCAGCGTATCCACTGCGCCAAAGCGCCCACCTCCAGGGTGCCAATGCGTTCGACATCTGCTGCGCCAACGCGCTCGCTTCTGCCCGAGCCCGCGTGTTTGTCCTGGAGTGCGCCAATGCGCTCGCGCCTCCCTGCGCCTGCTCGCCTGCCCCCGGATTTGCCATCGCGCCCCTCTTGGATCCGCAGCACTCGATGGCCAACACATCCGCCTTCAACTGCGTCAATGCGGCCACCTCCGCTGCGCCAATGCGCCTGATGTTCGCTGCGCCAACGCGCTTGCTCCGGACTGCGCCCAGCCCGCCGCCTCGCCAGACTGCCAACGCGCCTGCCACTAGCTTACCAACACTACCGTTCCTGGCTGCGGCGACACACCGCACTCGATGGCCAGTGCAACTTCGGTACTGGCGCGTACAATCGAAGCGCAAACTTGCACGTTTCATGATCCGGGCACGGTGCATTCGCCATCCCCCACCCGGCGCACCCGTGCTTGACCCCACCTTGCCTTCTGTGCTGGACTCTGGGGCGCCGTCGTGCTCCTTCCCGCCTCGCCGCCGTGCTTGATCTACCCAGCTGCCTGTGCTCGACCTTGCCTCGCCTCCCGTGCTTGAAGCTGCACATCTCCCATGGTCGAAGGTACATGTTTCCCGTGCCCGAAGCTCCCGGCGATGGGTGACGCTTGATCTCTCGCCCGTTGCTCCTGAGCTGCTTTACTCGTGCCCCACTCGATGCCACCCAGGCACCCCACGCTCGATGGGTGTGCCGCAGTTGATTCGACGTGCTCATCGCAGTAGACTCGACGCATACGCCACGGCCCACTGAATGCTAACCATAGAGCTCATTGTAGTGTAATGCATCAATGCCATCCGTTTTGGCTCCCCATGAGATGTGACACAATTAGAAGAAGATGGAATCATACATATGTATACAGATTCCAGCACAATGTAATTATAATACCTGATGAATGGATAGTACACATGACCAAATTCTGAAGACATCTAACAAGATGTGACATGAAGTCTGGAGGTTTCTGGTGTTATTTGAACCAAAATATATCATATTGAAGAGATGATTGATGTTACAAATCACCAAAATATGCCCAAAAAGTTCATAAAATTCCACATATTTGTGAACATTTTGTGACAAATGCTCAGGGGGACCTTCCAGATATCCACATTTTTGTACTTATGTGCTCCTATTAGCTCCTATATGTTCCTATATACTGTAAAAGGCCCCAAAATGGCTTTATCTGCATGGATAGTCCAGTAATTACTTGACATTCCCCCCTTTATGATACTAATTCCCAGAG